GGGGGGGGGGGGGGGGGGGGTAGCGTCAAGGCGGCGCCCGCAGCGACACTTCCGTGTACGTCACTTCCGCTGGACTGCATGGCGCCCGCGGGTGCCTGTGATGTGACAGCCACCGGCCATCAGGTGCCCACGGGTGCCACCTTGACGCTACCCCCGGTTATGTCACCATGACTCAGCACTTTCTTATCTGATCAAACCCCATTAAAAAACGTATGTACTTATACTACCCTGGCACATAGCACTGGGAAGCACTGGTCATGCTTGCTGATGACCTGGTAGAGCCAGGATGGTATCCTTCTGGACTGTCTAAAAGACCATCAGCTCCACTAGGTAAACCAGACCAGGAAACCAACTCAGGAAGGCTAAAACTTTTATTGAGATTTATTATAATAACAGAATATTGCAAGTATATTTTTACTGTACCTCCTCCTCCTCCTTATAGTTCAGTGAATTAGGGAGGTGTCTGCCTCTTCTAAATGTTCTCTTGGTCTAGACTTTAAAAATCATTCAGTTGCTTTTGCCTAGGCAACAGTTCCTTCATATCTCCCTCAATGTCAACTTCCTTACTCTCTACACCAATTAGGAGTTGCAGGCACAATGTTCTGGTGGTTCTCCTTCTTTCTCTATGGTTGGGTCCAGTTAGTTTTGGCAGGGGGGAGAGATTGAGCCAGAGCCTCCTTATGCTCTTGACTCTCTTATTTAACATCTACATGAGGCTGTCTGGGGTGAAGTCATCGCTGGTTTAGGATCCGAATATGCTGATGATACCCAGCTATACAGTGGGGCAAAAAAGTATTTAGTCAGCCACCAATTGTGCAAGTTCTCCCACTTAAAAAGATGAGAGAGGCCGGCTGTCGCTGGGCAACACGGACTTTGGCTGTCGCTGGGCAACACGGACTTTGGCTGTCGCTGGGCAACACGGACTTTGGCTGTCGCTGGGCAACACGGACTTTGGCTGTCGCTGGGCAACACGGACTTTGGCTGTCGCTGGGCAACACGGACTTTGGCTGTCGCTGGGCAACACGGACTTTGGCTGTCGCTGGGCAACACGGACTTTGGCTGTCGCTGGGCAACACGGACTTTGGCTGTCGCTGGGCAACACGGACTTTGGCTGTCGCTGGGCAACACGGACTTTGGCTGTCGCTGGGCAACACGGACTTTGGCTGTCGCTGGGCAACACGGACTTTGGCTGTCGCTGGGCAACACGGACTTTGGCTGTCGCTGGGCAACACGGACTTTAGTAAAATTCTCATTCCTGCTTCTCTGTTGCAGAGGAGAAAAGGCCTCTCTCATCTTTTTAAGTGGGAGAACTTGCACAATTGGTGGCTGACTAAATACTTTTTTGCCCCACTGTACATCTTAATTCTGGTCTGGCCAGATGAACCTGTCAAGGTCTTGAACCAATGTCACTGATGGGAGCCAGGAAGCAGGCCTTTTCTGTCATAGCGCCTGGCCTCTGGAATGACATCCCCCTGGAGATTCATATGGCCCCCACCCTGATCTTATTTAAATAAGTTCTTAAAACCTGGCTCTCTCCCCAGGCCTTGGACTAGACTGGTGGTAGACCCCTTTTGGGATGACTGATTTGTGAGATTTTATTATTTTTTCCAGATGATTATTTTCTGTATTGTTTGCTTTCAAATTTTATATTGTATGCTCTCCAGAATTATGATGGAGTTGAGCAGTGTATAAATATACTAAATCAATCAGTGATATGGGATTAATTAAAACCAAGAGGCAGAAAAAGGGCTGCAGCTCACTGGTAGAAGATGTACTTTGCACTAAGGACCAGGGAAGGACATCTGTCTGCAGTCCTGGAGAACTGTTGCCAATCAACTAGAACAACCAATTGTATGTCTGTATGTCTGTCTGTCTGTCTGTCTGGCTGCCCATCTCACCAGTGGGACTCTGGGCAGCTAGCAGGAATTAAAGTTCAATACATATACAATACATATTAAAAAAAATAGAATAATAAACAAATGCTTCCCAGCAGATATTGATTTATAGCCTCAGAGAAGTACTGAAAGAATGACTTACCTCTGCAACATTTGTGTGTTCATCTATGGAAACAAATATCTTGTACAGCAGAGTTTCAAAATAATCTCCCTGTACTCTGTTCATAACAAATCCTTCAAGTGGCGGCACTGAAAAGAAAAGCTATGTTTTAAGGATATTGTTAGGCATAAAAAGAAATGCCATTTATTAAAGTAAGAATATACAGTAAAATTCTCATTCCTGCTTCTCTGTTGCAGAGGAGAAATCAGCCTTTCATAAATGAATGAAATACAGTCACAGACTTACACTTATTTCTCTACTTGTACTTTACCAAATATCAAATGTGTAAATGGAACATATTCATCACATACCTACCGTAAGGCTCTTCAACGATAAGATTTTCATGTAAGATTCCTGTGCAACTGTTGCCTCTGGACTTTATTTATTGGTCTTTTACTACTGCTGTTAAAACTGATAATGAAGCAAATGCATTTGCTCACATTTTTCTCTTCAGCTTATAAAAAGGCTCAGAAGGATATATAGTGGAGGGTAATGAAATAATGCATGGCTGGATCGAGTATTATTTCCTCCTAACTATGATTAGGTTCAGCCAACAAAGCTAAATTATGGAACATGCAGGAATATCAAAGTAAGTGTTTCGGTACAGAATGAAACTCTTCACTGAAATCTGAAATTCCCCATCATTATGGTAACCAACAAATTGAATTACTACATGTTTACCTGTATCAGTTGTACTGAACAGGTTTCTTTAAAAAACAGTTATACGTACCTGCTATGCAACTGTCATCAGATATTGGTACATCAAGGTAGATAAATCCCTTATTATATAAGCCTATGGATACAAAAAATAACCCCATTATCATAACACATTATCATGTAGTGTCTTCAGTCAGTTTATTGTACTGAGAAACTAAGAAAGTGAGACAGATTTCAGAAAATGGCGTGTGAAACACTAACAGTTATGTTTACATTTTTCTCCTATTCAAATTAAATCCAGTTGATATTTCAAAATTTAATCCAAATTACTGCATGCATGGCACAGTATCGCATGGAAGAGCTAATAACTTAGGATGTGGCGCAGACCTGAGAGATGCAAAATTCATTCTCCAAAGCATCCTTCCTCAAACAGGGTTTTTTCCCCAAGACTGAAACTAATATTAGACTAAGGAAAAAAAAATACAATGCCAACAGTTTAACCATACTGCTTTTTAGATAAAAGATTTCCTCTGAAGATATTCAGATGAAAGTTCCAAAATAAAAATGGCTGAAAAGTTATAGTTACAACTCTACCCCATGTACGTTAAGCTTAAAATACGCTCCACCAAAATCCAAATATAAATGTTCTGAACAAGAATTAAGTATAAATTTCACAACTGTGTTCTCTGAAAAGCTTGAAAAAAGACAACATTTTAGCTGAAAAAACATGTAAAATATCTGCAGTGAAACCTTGCTGTAACAGACCAGTAGAAAGGGGACATGCCTGTTATTTGCAAATGCCTGTTAAATTGCCAATTATGTCATTTGCAGCAATTTATTTGCATAATGATATCATTTGTGGTTAATTACATTATTATGCCAATTACCAGAAATGATGTGAAATTAATATAAATTTAATTGCCTTCAGTAGGATGTCTGGACAGAAATCTGGTTAACTGCATTCAAAGGCCACTAAATTGGTTCTGTTAAATTGTGGTTTCACTGATTATCAATATTCACACATAACTGTGGTAAAACCTCAAGTGTTATACAAATAATTTATTGGTTCTGTGTGGTGCTCAGATACCTCAGATAGATTAAAATTTGCAAGTAAATTCCAGCAGCATGATTCAGACAATTGAGACATTTGTTCCATGAGCTGGAAGAATTTTTAATTATTAAGGCTATTGGCAAATATGACATAGCAAAATTATTTTCTAAATTGAAGGGAAATCCCAAATAATATGTGACCCAGCACTGGGATCAGCTGCTCTAAAAAGGCAAAAAAGAAAACTCAGACAGCCCCAGATAAATGCCCAAATTATTCCCTAATCATTGATTCTCTCTAATATGCAAGTTTTCCAACCTTTTAACTTAAATCTATAACAAAAATCATATGCAGAAATTATTCTTCTGTTGAAGGAAAAACAACACTCACTGTGAACAACATTGTAGTCTAGGGCTCCAGCAAGCTGAGGACCTGAATCAATGATTTTATCAACTGCAGTTTTTTCAGAGGGAGTGCATATCTAATGAGAAAAGTGTATATTAAATAATGTACTTATACTAATACACAGGGTTTTAAACATTATTTGATGTAGCATTTAGATTGGGCAATGAAGAACACAATTTATGGCTGCTGAGAACCCACTGTTGGACTCAGTGCTACAATAAAAATTCCACTAGAGAAAAATGCTTGTTTCCTATCATAATGTTAATTCAGGACCACTTAATGAAATTGTATTTTGTAGCAAGGTACAGATATCTACAAATATTTTTTTTCAAACATTGCATAATTAGTTTATGGACTCAAACATAAGCTACAGCTGCTTATGTTAAAATATTCTTAAAAAGAGATTAGGAAGACAATGTTTTATAATACTATGACAATTAAGTGGAACTCACACATTCAGAAATAATTTAACTCTGAATATTAGATATCAGTATTATATTTGTGCCTTCCCATAGGAAAAAAGTACATTTGCTTTGCAGCAGCTGATTCAAAAGAATACATGTAATTTTTCCAGAGGAATGTAAATGATGTGAAACACAGTAAGTAGCCCAAGCAGAATACAAAAGACAACGTGATCCATTTGCTATAAAAGATCATTATTGCTGTAATTTTCAAGCAACTCTATCAAGCATAATTCACCACAAGGTAGTTTCTGATCGTAACAGCACAATTCTTTAGGTTCATGATCTGGAAATGGGGGTGAACTTCATTAGCAGTCTACCTACAAAGCGTAACTCTAGCTAAGCTGCACAAATTATTTTATTTATACCTTGATGTCATCCTCTGTGATATAACCAGCTTGTACCACCCACCAAGCTTCTATGGCAATTTCTACTGGTTTCATGGGTAACAGGTCACGAGCAGTTTTCCTTCTAAAAAATTTCTGAAATGGTAAAGCACATTTGAGAAAGTATACAGGTAGTCCCCGGGTTAAGAATGCCTGGGTTACAGATGACCCATAGTTAAGAACAGAGCTATTGTAGCAAAATTTGAGTTAAATACACACCGATTCAAGTTAAATACACAATGGTTCGAGTTCATTACATAACACTACTTATACAGTATTATACAATAATACAGTTCTGGCTTACGTACAAATTTGACTTAAGGGCACACCTTGGGAATGGAACTCATTCTTAAACTGGGGACTACCTGTATTGCAATGATAAGAAAACAACTAATTTTCCTAGCACATAAAACAGAAGAAGCTATGTTTTCAAATACAGCACATTCAAGTCTTTAAGCACACTATCCCTTTCCCCTGGTGAGACTGTCCTTATCACCGAGCCTCGGAAATTACTTCCGCAGTACGTCCTCTACAGACTGCTTCACTGCACTTAAAGCACGTAGACCGAAAGTGAGCGAGTATAGGGGGTTCTGGCCCATTTTTCAATTTCACCTGCAGAGATCCAAGTTCTTTTTAAGTGACGCACACACATTTAGCTGAGAACAAGCATTTGTTTGCCTTTCCATAAACCAAAGACAATGATACTAAATACATAGGGGTGGGGCATTTACAAATTATAGATCTCCAGAGCCTACAAAGCAAGCCTTAAATCAGGGGTCCCCAAACTCTTCAGCTCATTGACCCTTTCGTCAAGTTTCAGATTGTTCATCGACCCCCAAACATTTATTATAGGAAAATAATTTAATAAATACTACTTTAACTATGAATAATAATAATACTCGATAGGTGGATAAAAATGCCAAATCCAGTCTAAGCATCTGGATAACTGTACAACCAACCATAATAATGATAATGATAATGATAATAATAATATTGACCCTTTGAATAGTCCCATCAACCCTTGGGGGTCAATATTGACCACTTTGGAGAACCCTGCCTTAGATGGTCACCTAAAAGCCCTTGTTCCCCTTACTGCACCGTATCCTACGTGGATCTGCCATTGATGACTGGATGGAAACAGAATACAGAGTACGGTTCCTTAGGGGACTCTTCTTAGCCAATGTTGAAATAATTTATTAGCTGCCAATTCATTTTAGGATGTAACTGAAAAATGGAGAGGTTTACCTTCAAACCATAAATGAATGAAAGAAAGAAAGCTCTCTCATGTAAGTACCTGTCCATGTGCTGAGACTTTCATTAGAAGCCCTTTTCCAGGGAAATTGAGCAAGGCAGCGATAACTGGGAGGTCTGTTTTCCCTTTTGCTGGCTTCAGAAATCTCTCTGGAGTGAGGCATACATGTCACTTTCCAAGTTGTCTCTGAGAGCCAGAGATCTTTTTGATTTCCTAAGACTTCAAATATTTTCAGCTACACTTTATTCCTCTCTTATTGGAATACTTTTATTTCTGGGAATGTGATTCTGTCACACATTCATAATATCATCTGATCAGTGCTACAGTGTTGTTTTATTATTATTTTCAGCTGTCCTTAGCATATTCTGCTGAAGGCAAGGCATACTTTTAATCCACAAATATATATATTTATGCTGTGCCAGATGATGGCAGGATATTTACTGCCGCTGATCAGAAACTGAGGGAAAGCCATGGGCTAGAAAAATGACCCTTGTAACTTGGCAAAGACTACAGATGACTGTATGCCCACTATGGCAAGCCGATGCCCCATAAACTGCCATCTGTAATCTGCCAAAACAAACTGTCCTTGATGGCAGCCTCATAAGTGCTTTTCAAACTCACCAAGCCAAAGAAGTGGAAGTCTGCAAACTCTTCTTTTAGGTTGCAAGAAAAACTGGTTAGGCATATTATAGATGTTTACCAAGTATGAACATACTTGAAACTATTATTATTTATACATACTTGTTTTAATATCAACCTCTAGACTAGAGGTCAATAGTAGATCAAGTGGAGAAAATCAGAATACATACTTTTGATGACCTACACTGGTTCATCAGATCAATGTACTGGTTTCTTCCTATGCCAAGAAGCCTTAAGCCTGGGGGAAAAAAAAAGAGAAGTCTCTTAAAACAGAACTATATTTGGAAACCTATTCTGAGAGAAAGTATTACTTATATGCAGCATTGCTTCTTCTTTTGCTTTATAACCAAAAAGGCACTTTTAAAAAGGGCAAAAACAGTAGATGCATTATCGATAAGATGATGCATCTGAATAATGTCATTACAATACATTCAGTTGGAGACAGTCATTATATTCTGGTTGGTTGAAAATAAGCATTTTGTCTGGAATTATCATGTGTTTCTAGCATGTAATCTAAACATCAATTAAGTTGATCAAAAGATCCATATGAATTTAATCTGAAAGATATCCACATTTGAAAGCAGTCATTGTCTTGCAACAAAGAAGGCTTCCTTAATTCTCCTGTGGCCTGGAGATCTCAAACAAGATATATACTTGCAAAAGCTTTTATCAAAGACAATCATTGTCTTAAAAGTTTGTCCTAGAATTCTGAGCTTTTAATCCAAGATCTGTATTTGAACAATGGAAAAGAGGAAGAAAAACCAGGGTTTTTAGTGAGAAAGACACTCACTATAAGTTATAGCAATTTAATTAATGGTCAGATAATCAGAAAACTAAACAAAGAAACATCATTCAGAGCAATTGCTTCAATGGCTGCTCTGCTGACAGCTAACTCTATTAAGAGCCTGTGTTAAGGACAGCAAAGTGGTTGTAGGAGAATGATCTAAATAATCTAAATATAATTATTATGGTTTACAGCTAAGACAATAAACAACTATTTAAGAGTCATGTGATAGGCTGGAAATTTATTTTCTTAACTTTCTCAGTGTTATTTTCTTATCACTGTCTCTTTTGTTCTGTTTTCAGATGGGGACATTTACTTTTAACTTCAAAAGCTCTCTTAAACAAGCGTTGCAACTTCAAAAATAAAAAAGGAACTATCATGCAGCTGTGCTTTTGAAACTAGCAGATTCTTTTTTTTTTTTAAATAGGCATTTATTGAGCCCACGTAAACAGAATGTGAGTTTATACTTACAGTCTGCAGCAGTAAAATTAGGTAATGAATCGTAACTTTTTTCACTGTTCATTATGTCCTTTGTAAAGAGACAAAAAGATGCAGAGTCAGTTTCAATCACTGCACTTTTTAAACTTCATAGCTGTACGCTGATGCTATATCAGTAGGTACTGCAAATCCTAAGTCTTGTATCTTATAAAATGGTGCTGTCACTAGAAAAGAGCTGGGCATTAACTGCTACGGCAAGCAGTTGCCCGCTGAATCTCTTCCCCTGATGCGTGCTTATGACTTCCAAGCAGCTTCCTTGATCAGGGAAATTGAGTGGCAAGGCCCAAATGCAATTCTAATGCAGTTCAATGGATATGGCGTTCCCCGATGTGTAGCAGCAGTCTAAGAAAAAGCTAACCATAGACATGTGTTTCCAGTAGGCAAGCATCACATTGCAATAGAAGGAAACAGCATATCTCTTTTTAAGTGTTTCTCTAAACTTACTGTCAAAATCCTCGCAATTTTGTGGCAAACTATTAATTAAACTGCTTGCTAGCTAGACTGCTTTTTTGCTTGCTGTGCTTCTGCCATTAAAAGACACCGGGGGGGCGGAGAATGTAAGGCATGAGAAGATGGATGCTGGACCGTTACAGGCAGATGGACTCTTTATCACAAGCCTGGAACGCTCAAGGTCGTACCAACGGAAGAATGTGAGAAGACTAAGGTGGCAGGGGGGTGAGGGGAGGAGGAGAGAAGAGGGGAAAAGCAACTTTTGCTGTGCGCGGGCTCAGTCTTAGCAATGCTTTGGATCTGTACAGTTAATCTCAATAAATGAACTTTCTCTTGAATCATGAATGATTGCAAGAGAGTTACTATAATTGAGAGCAGGAGGGGTCAGGTCGTCACACTTACCTCCATTATTCCTGTGTAATATGAAAAAGGTGTTATCCTCAAGCCTTTCACCATGATGTCAGACAAATGGTAAGGGTACAACATAAGATGATCTCTGCTATATTTTAACAAATCCTCGTAGTATTTGCGTTCATCTTTCTTGATGTGCTTAACTAGGGGAGAAATGAAATGTTAGAACAATCTTCTTAAATTAGTTAATCATGTAATCCCTTTTTTAAATGGGGCGTGAAGCGGGTATAAAGACTTTTCAAGGCAAACTGGTTCACTGGCACACAAATTTGAACAATACTCTGTATCTATGCAAATAAGAAAGTCAAAACAAGATGGAAAGGTTGGTGTACTGAAGTCTGTGGCTCAATGGGAGAAAAGTTATCTTTTTAATTTATAATTGAATTAATACCTACCTCTGTTTATTGCAATATTCAAGACTATTTTCAGCAATAATAAAAATACAGAGTATAAGACATAGCAATAACATGGATGGAATTAAGATTAAAACCAGAATTAAAATCCATAATTAAAATGTTTAACCATTAAAATTAAAATATAACCAAAAAACCTTGGTAAATAATTTTTGGCCAGTACTCAGATCCTAAATTGTAGAAATGATTAACAAAGACGACCAATACACCAATCCAAAGAATTCAATGAATATTACTTTTATCTTAATAGATTTAAAATCTTTCAGAGTATTTATTTAAAAGGCACGTATCTCATCCATTTTGCTCAGATTCAAGACAGCTTACAAATAGAAGCAATCGGTCTATTTCTGTCTACATTTGTAAAATTCTAACAGAACAATTGCCCATTACCTTGCTCTTAGCTGCTTGTATCATAATTTATAATGTTTTACAGAAATTCCTAAGAACTGTGTAATTTCTTGATCTTCCTTTGTAAATTAGTCAATGTATTTCAGCAACAAAAAATCTGTTATAATGGATTTTTTTCCTGTGTGGTCACTATGGATAGCAGTTAACAAAACATTTTCCCTTTCCCAAATCTGTATTTCTTTATTCACCTAAGTTATTTCGGTACCGTAGTTGATTGCGGATACTGTAGAGCACAACCTGCTTTTCATATTCTCGTTGTGAGTTTCCAAGACCCTATGAAACAAACAGATTACATTCATTAAGATAAGCTACTAAAAATTGATGAACTATGCTACACTCAAGTGTTCAGATATTAATATCCACTCCTTCAGCATAAAGTGCTTGAAAGTACCGCTCATCGTAATGGCTTTCTTTTCAGCAAATATGCACGACTGACTTGTGGTAAAACAAACCTGTTTTAACATATCTTTACCCTAAAAGGTTGTTATAAAATGTGATGCTAAAAAGTAGTGGGAGATTTTCTTCCAAATAAAACCAATTCTTAAAACCAATTTGCACATTATTTGTGAAATGAACAGCTGCAGAAAACATTACTGGAAAGATTGTTAATGTTAATTCTTAACTGAGACTGGCTGAGAGTATTCAATTACTGTCCTCATTTAGCCTTATGAGGGTAAATTTTAATGACCCTGGACTTGCATATTTATCTAGTACAGAACTTGTGGTCAGCACAGATACAATTTTGTGAACGGAATCAGCATGAATCTCAAAAATGCACTGGTTTTTAGCATTCAAATATCACATGATTGTTATGCAGTACATCCTTTCTACTGCAGACTTATTTTTGAGAACAGTACAAAAAGGTCTTCACATGACCTTGTAGATGCTATTACTAAATGTTGCCGCTGCCTACCCATATGTTCTTGAGACCAGTTTGCATCTGAGGCTAGTGAAAGAGAACACACTGATTATAATGCAGCACTTAAACTGAAACCAACAATCCAACTTTATAAAGAACCAAAAAGCAGAATGAAAGTTATTATTTGTTATACAGGAACTGTGGAACGAAGAATTGGAATATCCAATCTTGGAAAATCAATGGGTCCAGATTTTAAAACACACAAAATATATTTATGATTTAAGAATGAAATTAATTCATCAGAAAATATTATTTAATATCTATTGGAACTCTCAAAGAAAGTTTAGAAAGTGTTGGACATTAATATTTTCTGCTGGAATTGTAGGCAATCTGAGGAATTTTTAACTGAAATGAATTTGGTTTGTCCCACTACAACTTTATTTTGGTTTCAAATCATAGCATATGTTAATATACTTTTGGAAAGAAATGTAATAGCTAAAGATGTAAAGATGATGTTGAACTATATTCCTGAAACATGGAATTTGTCACTTCATGAAGAACTTTGGCTCTATCAAGTCTGGTGCATAACAAAGAGTATAATCTTATGTAAATGGAAAGAAACTTCTTGATAGTAGAAATGATATGATTCAAGATATGAGTCTGTTTTCTAGTTTTTAAGTCTTTATGTTCTAAAAATGAAAAATCAGATCTACTTTTAGCAATAAGCTTAAAGATTAATTTTATCCCAATACAAACTGGACATTATATGCATTTTTATTTTTTGTGATTTTTTCCCCTTTTTTGGTACATTGTTTATGTTAATTACTATAATGTTCTTTTTCTCATTATATAACCACTTTCTGTTGGTGTTGCAGTTGTTGTTATTTCACTACTAAAAAATACTAAGAAAATAAATTTCGTGAGATGGGTGTGGTCCAAATTTGAAATATAAATAAATAAAATAAAATGTAATTAAGATAACGTGGCACTGATATGAATGATATAAAGTTACCAACTTGCAATATTGATTAATTGATTGATTGTATTTATATAGCTGCCCTTTCACACAAAGTGACTCTGGGTGGCGTACAACAAATGCATGCAATTGTGCCATAAAGAATAATTTCTATCAACATTCAGAATATAACTCTTTCATATTATATGTGTACACTCTATGTTTGTGTACAAGAACGGTCATCTCTTTTAATCTCTGATGCTGGGAAAGGTGGAAGAAAAGAAAAGAGGACGACCAGCAGTAAACAGGGTGGACCCATTTACAGTGGCGATGAGTGCACTGTTGGAAGACCTGAAAGACCAGGTTAGGGACAGATCATCATGGAGAGACTCTATCGGTGTGGTCGCTAGGACCTGAAAATGACTTGATGGCACATAATCAATCAATCAATCAATCGCACTTAGTGACTTTGTAGTTGTGTCTGCACAACTCACTAACCCATGATTTGCTTATCCACACTTTACTGAGCTAATCCAATTCTTAACTGGACTATAAACTAGTAATGCTGTTTGCACAAACTATTTAATCCAAGCGAGCCAAATGCATTTTAATTTAGAGTTTTGTGCCAACTCGTTTTAGATGTGACTTGTAACAGGTTCCTGTGCAGAGCTACAGGTACCCCAGCACTGAGTGTAAACGCACATGCTTTGCACAGAGAATGTCACCCATGCAACCTTTGCATCTTAAATGGAGGCTCCACGGCCAATCCTCTGCAACAGAAGATCACGTTCAAACAATGCTCTTACAATAAAAGCCAGGGTGGCGTTCAGGTTAATGTGGCCCTAAATCGGTGTTTCTCAACCTTGGCAGCTTTAAGACGTGTGGACTTCAACTCCCAGAATTCCCCAGCAGCAATATTCTGGGAGCTGAAGTCCACGTGCCTTAAAGTTGCCAAGTCTGAGAAACACCGCCCTAGAGCCACGCTAACGGAGCTCCAGAGAGACTCTCAGCCAGCCAGCCTCTTGCAGCCTGGGCAGAGAGAGAGCTCAGCGCTGCTCCCCTACACGGGAGGAGGACGCAGGGTTCGCACCTGCCCTGCAAGGGGGCAGAAACTGGGGCTGGAGCCTCCTCGGACTGCAGCTCCCCCGTTCCCAGCCAAGGGGCCCTACGGCGCGGCGGAAATGGGGGCCGCAGCCCGCCCGCGTGGGGGCGCCAAGCCGAGAAGGCTGCGCTACGTCGGGAAGGGAGGGGGGCAGAAGCGGCGCTCCCAGCCCGGACGAACGGGGGACGGCGGCTCGGCTTCTGGCTTAGCCTGGGTGGGCTACGGGCAGCCCGAGGGGTCAGTTCCAGCAGCAGGAGGGGGCGTTGCTGCGTACGGGTAGCGGGAGGGGTCAGTCAGTCAGTACCTGCTTAACGCTGGCGGGGAGGCGGGCCCAGGGGTAGTTGTGGCGAATGTGAAACTCCACGTCCACATTCATGGCAGGATCCCCGGGATGGGGTGGAGCGACCGAGGGAGAACGGACGGCGGTTGCCGGGCCCCAGTCTTCCTCGCGGCTGCCTCAGCCCCTCTCCTGAGGCGAGGCTCTGCCGCGACCCAACGCAACAGCTCAAACCTGCCTTCCGCTCCCCCTCCCCCCCGCCCCCGCCAGCGTTAAGCAGGTACTGACTGACTGACCCCTCCCGCTACCCGTACGCAGCAACGCCCCCTCCTGCTGCTGGAACTGACCCCTCGGGCTGCCCGTAGCCCACCCA